ATATAGTAGTGGAGACACTGTAAGGGTACCCAGAGTAGTTACTTATTCTGCTGTCCCTGTGCTCTGCCCATTTATGACCTCTCTGTGTGTGTTAGCATCTGTGAGTGAACAGGTGTGGGATGCAGAGGGTAAGTGTGTAAGGAGCATGGATATGTGAGGTATTTAAGGTACACAGAAATAACATTTATGGCTCTAGGTTTGGTTCACAAAGTTTCTCCAAATTCTGCTTTCATCTCTCCTGACATTTCAAATTAGGACATACTGACACCTTTTAGGTGTTTGAAACCTACTGCCAATGAGTATGGAAAATGAAGAGAGGAGAAGGAATGAGGGAGAGAAGTCAAGACTAGAAAAGAGAAGAAGATAAGAGGAGGAAGAGGGAGGTAAGAAGATTGGAAGAAAAATTCTATTTTAACCTAATCCAAATTGTTTTCCCTTTGTGTGGTTTAAAAGTAGCTTAGAATGCTTTCAATCTTAACTGGAGAGGGGAGAGGCACAAGTAGAATTAACTATTAATAAGTATTGTTATTTGATGTTTCTAATATGATCATGGAACTCTCTGGTAGTCTAGTGGCGAGGGGTTACCCTGTCAACCCAAAGGCAAATGGTTTGAATCCACAAGTTTCTCTGGCAGTGAAAGATGAGTCATTTCCTCCTGTGCAATTTATATTTTCTGAAAATTGCTTAAGGGTCAGTTATGAGTCGGTTCCGACTCAATGGTACGCAGCAAAAACAACAGGAGCATTGGATTACCTCGCTCACAGTTTCCTGCTGCTGCTGTAACAAGTGATCACAAACTGGATGAAATTCATTCTGGTGGCCAGAAGCGCAACATCAGGATGTCAGTAAGGCCGCATCCGGAGATTCTGAGAATCTTCTCTTGTCTCTTCCAGCTTTTGATGGTTGTCATTTTGCCTTGTGGGTACATCACTCAAAACTCTGTTCACATCTTCACATGCTCTTTTTCTTTTCTTTATTATTTCTTTCTTCTGGATGTTTCTAATAAAGGTACTTATCACAGACCTTATGACCCACTGAGATAATCCAAGTGAGTTCTGGTGATGTAGTCCATAGAGATTTGTACAAATTGGTAACCCAAAGGCTATGCCTCATGGGCAGTACAACTCCACCAGCAGCTTCAAGAAAGGAAGATGGTCAATCTCTTCCTGTGCTATTTACAGTCTTGGGAGTCCACTGGAGGATCAACTATGAGTAGATTCTGACTCAATGACAATGAGAAAGACAGGAAAAAATCCAGAATGATTTTATCTTGAGATCTTTAACTTAATTGTATCTACAAAGACTCTTTTCAAATAAGGTCACAGCGTAGGGCCGTGATGGTTAGAATGTGAGCATTCACCACAACAAGGTAAAGGTAAACAGCCCAATTGAAAAATGGACGCAGGATATGAACACTTCACCAAAGAAGACATTCTGACGGCAAACAAACACATGGAGAAATGTTCAAAATCCCTAGCTCTAAGAGAGATGCAAATCAAAAAAACTATGAGATATCATCTCATCCAAGTAACAATAGCAAAATTCAACAGAGAAGCAAAAAACAAATGTTGGTGAGGTTGTGAAGAAACTGCAACCCTTATTCACTGGTGGTGGGAGTGTAAAATGGTGCAACCACTATGGAAGGCAGTATGACACTTTCTTAAGAAGTTGCAAATAGAAATACCATTTGACCCAGCAATTCCACTACTGGGAATATACCCTAAAAAAGACCAGAACTGACACCAGACAGATATATGCACACACCCATGTTTACTATTCACAATAGAAAAGAGTTGGAAACACCTGTGGTATATTCCCACAATGTAATACTATGCAGCACTGAAAAACAAAGAACTCATGAAATAATATACAAAATGGGTGACCCTGGAGGACATTATGCTGAGTGAAATATCTCAGTCACAAAAGGAAAAATATTGCATAGTGCCACTGGTGTAAGGAGGATTTGACATCAGGGTTAGGGAGAAACTAAGAAAAGAGGAATGATGAACACTGCATTGAAACATATGAGGGAAAGAACTGCTTAAAAGGGATATGTTGTTGTTGTTGTTGTTGATTGCCTTTGAGTTGAGCTCGACTCATATAGCAAACCTATGAACCAAAGGCCTGAAGTCCCTCTACGGCTATTGACATTTATCAAAGTTCATAGAATTTCTGGAGGCGTGATGTTTAGGAAATGGATGCCACTTCTGCTTCCAAACCTGTCATGTTGTTGTTGTTATGTGCTGAAGAGTCGCTTGTGACTCATAGCGACCCTATGTACAACAGCCCTAAACCCTGCTCTATCCTGTGCCAATCGCATTGCCTCTGACACACCCATCCCAATTATCCCAATCACTGAGTCAATTCACCTAATACAGGGCCCTCCCCTCCTGCGCTGTCCTTCTATCCTCCCAAGCATGATGTCCCTCTCCAAGGACCAGTCCCTCCTTACAACATGTCCAAAGTATGTCAGACGAAGCCTCAGAATCCTTGCCTCCCAAGAGCCGCCTGGTTTAACCCTTTCCAGGACGAATCTGTTTGTTTTCTTAGCAGTCCATGGTACTCTCAATACTCTTCTCCAGCACCACAGCTCAAAGGCATCAATTCTCCTTCTATCCTCTTAGTCATTGTCCAACTCTGATGCATAACAAGTGATCGCAAAGACCATGGCCTGTATCAGAAGCACCTTATTCTCCAGAGAGACACCATTGCTCTTCAGTACTTTGGAGAGGTCTCTAACAGCAGACTTTCCCATGGCAATACGTCTTTTAATTTCCTGGCTACTGGTGCCAAGAGTGTTGACTGTGGAGCCAAGCAAACTAAAGCTGCGAACAATCTCAATCTTTTCACCATCCATCCTGATGCTGCCCATTGGTCTAGTGGTGAGACTCTGTCTTCTTGACATTGAGCCTCAATCCATATTGAAGGCTGCAGTCCTTGACCCTCTGCAGCAAACGCCTCAGTTTCAGCAAGCAGGGTTGTGTCATCTGCATAACACAGATTGTTGATAAATTGTCCACCAATATTGACCCCACATTTCTCCCCATAGAGCCCAGCCTCCTGGATAATCTGTTCTGCATACAGGTTGAAAAGGTATGGAGATAGGACACATCCCTGGCATACGCCCTTCCCAATTTTGAACCATGCTGTGTTTCCTTGCTCTGTTCTGACGACTGCCTTTAGGTTTCACATCAGCACGATCAAGTGTTCTGGGATTCCCATTCTTCTCAGAGTCAGCCACAGTTTGTTCTGATCCACACAGTCAAACACCTTTGCATAGTCAATGAAACACAGATATACCTTCCTCTTGTATTCCCTGCTTTCAGCTAAGATTAATCTAACATTAGCTACAATATCCCTAGTACCACGACCCTTTCTAAACCCAGCCTGGACTTCTGGCAGTTCTCTGCTGATGTTCTGTTCCAGTCGTTTTTGGATAATCTTCAGTAGACTCTTGCCTGCATGTGAAATCAACGATATTGTTTCCACACTCTGTTGGTTCACTCTTCTTTGGGATGGGAACAAATATAGAGCTATATGTGCCATGGAGTTTAATGAATTTGTTTTTGTTGTTGCTGAGAATAACACAGTTGGAAATGTCCCAATCCAATAATTTCTCTGTGTACAAATCAAAGACATTGATTATACTCTCTAATTTGTACAACCATTCTCATCTTCCTTTTTTGTTTCTTCTCCAAGGTTGTGACATAAACACACTGCCTCCTAAATTTTCTATGTAATATTTTGAGTTATTATTATTAATTTGATCCTAAATAAAAAGAGCTTATGGAGCTCTGGGGGCCTAGTGGCAAGAAGTTGCATTGCAATCCCAGAGGTATGCGGTTTGAATCCACCAGATGCTTTGCTGGAGAAGGAGGGACAATCTCCTCCTGTACCAGTCAGATCCGATTTGACGATACACACATACAAAATAATAAAATTTTTAAAAAAGAGAAAGAACTTAAGAGATCACAGTGTTTGGGGCAGACCTTTAAGAAGACTTTTGGGGATATTTTTGGATTAAATTTTAGAGATTATTTTAAAACAATAGTTTCATGGGTTCATCTATTTTCCATGGCTCTAGAAAGTCTTAATTCCATAAGAATTTTAAATTATGCTTCTGAATTTCCCCCCTTTTGATCAAGACTCTTCTATAGACTCTTTGATCAAAATGTTTAGTAATGATAGCCAGGCACTATCCAGTCCTCTGGGCTCCTAGCAGAAGAAGGACTTCCTTATGGAAGCCAATAAGCCATATATTCTATCTCCATCTTTTATTCCTTCCTCCTCTTTCTTCCTCCTCCTCCTTGCTCTGTGTGTAGAGCTGGTCTTTGAGGACATATCAAGGTAATAGGCTACAAAGAGTCAACTTCTGTCCCAATACCACGACTTGCCTGGTCTCCCTTCTGGAACAGCTCCCCCACCCCCAGCCTGCCCCCAATCCATACCAACAATCCAGATATCAGGCTAATGGACATGACTCAGGGAGCCCTTTCTCTCTTCCATGACCACTGTCACTGACCTTAGTTGTCCACCAAGAATCTTGTAGCTCACCCTGCCTCTGCTCCTGGATTCCTGGAGCTCAGCCAAGCTCTACGTTCCAAGGCCAAGGCCGCCAGAGTCCCTTAGTTTCACTCTCAGGTGAGACCAATGCACCAGGTGTTGCCCCATACAGAGCTGAGGGTGGGGACTGACACACCCAGGAGGTGATGTCACAAAGGCCCCTACCTCAGCTGTGAAGGGGCACAGGCACTGTGGGGCCCTCCCCTCCCCTCCCCCTGCCCCTCACAGAGGAGGCCTCTTCCTGTCCTGAGAGCTGGTACTAAGAAAAGGTAAACTTGCTGGCAGAGCCACGCCTGGAACCAGCAGATTCTGGCAAGAGCCCTGGCTGAGGGGACCCACCCGCCTGCTGCCTCTGCCACGTCCACTCTGACCACACGGGCCCCCCGCGCCCACATCACCGACCAGTTCCATTCCAACGACACCTTCCCGGCCACGGCATGGCCAACTTCTACGAAGTGCTGGGGGTGCAGTCCAACGCCACCCAGGAGGACATCAAGAAGGCCTACCATAAGCTGGCCTTGCGCTGGCACCCGGACAAGAACCCTGACAACAAGGAGGAGGCAGAGAAGAAGTTCAAGCAGGTGTCCGAGGCCTACGAGGTGCTCTCCGACTCCAGCAAGCGCTCGGTGTACGACTGCGCGGGCTGTGACAGCTGGCGCGCTGGGGGCGGCGGGGCCAGCACGCCCTACAACAGCCCATTCGACTCGGGCTACACCTTCCGCAACCCCGAGGACATCTTCCGCGAGTTCTTCTGTGGCCTGGACCCCTTCTCCTTCGACTTCAGAGACAATCCGTTCAACAGTGAGCACGAGAGCCGCCTGCGGGGGGCCTTCTCGGTGGGCTTCGGGGAGTTCCCCGCCTTCATGGAGGCCTTCTCGTCCCTGGACTGCCCGCTGGGCTCGGGAAGGTGCGCCAACCGCACCACTTTCTCGTCCACCTCCTTTGGGGGGACTGGTTCAGGCAGCTCGGGGTTCAAGTCCGTGATGTCATCCACCGAGATGGTCAATGGACACAAGATCACCACCAAGCGCGTGGTGGAGAACGGGCAGGAGCGCGTGGAGGTGGAGGAGGACGGGCAGCTCAAGTCGGTGACCATCAATGGCCAGGAGCAGCTCAAACGGGTGGACAGCAAGTGAGCTCCGGGCGGCTAGCTGCAGCACACCTCCCAGCCACGGGCCACGAGCGTGGGCTGATGGTCAATAAATGTGCCTACTGAGCTCACGGGAACACTCGCCCCGCTTTATGGGTGCCAGGCGTCTTGGGGTGCTGCTGAGGTGCTGGCTGGGGGCAGGTGCAAGGAGGCAGGGGTGCGTAGGCACCGCAGGAGGAGGGTCTGCAGGCCTGCTAGGGTCTCCTTCAGATTCAAAACGTGCCTCCAAGCCACTTTCTTCTAGACATGGATCTTCGCAGACCTCCTTGCTTCAACTCTCCTCACTCCCAAACTACTCCCACCAAGTCCTTACACCGTAATCTTGGCAAAATCCAAGAGGCTTTGCATCACTTGCTTTGCTTTACACATTGGGTGGCTGCCTCTGCTCTAAGCAGAAGGATCTCATGAGCCTCTCAGGCCGGTGGCCTCACCCTGCTCGCTTCTCTGGCCTCCCCTCCCTTCACCGTCTACTCTTTGAGTCTCAGCCAGCCAGACCTCCCCTTCCTCTGCTGCGCTGAGTGCTTGGCAGCCTCAGGGTCTTTGCACATGTCACAGTGTTACAGCAGAGCCTAATGCCCAGGGGGGTTGGTGAAGAGTGGGCATTTTGGCTGTGTGTGAGCATGTTCGGGTGTCCAGCAGTCCATAACTGAGGCAGTCTGTGTGGGCGGGGAACAAAGCTGGAGCAGGAGATGGGGGACAAAACTGGGCTTGCTCGGGTCCCAGATACACAGGCTGGGGCCCAAGCTTCCCTCTTGTCTCTGCCTTGATGATGGCCGTGGACTGGGGGTGGCCCAGATAATGAGCATCGTCAATTGAGCTGGTGATGAGCACCTTTGAGTAGTTTCTGGGCTGTGACAGGAACATGAGAGGGGAGCAGGACTAGGGCTTGGACCAGGTGTCCCACAGCTGGGACCCTAGTGTGTGATTTCTCAAATGATCCCATGGGGCCCTGCAAATGGTGGGGACAGCTGCGGTGCAGGATCACAGAAATACGTATGCTGTGTACCTGTTTGCTTCTGTCTACAGGTATATGGAACAGTTAAAGGAGAATTCTTGTGTTAAAGGGACATCAGTTTTGCTCATTTCTTCTTGTCAGCATCTATTGCAAGGCACAGATGTATAGGTACTCAATAAACACTTGTTGAATGGAGGTATTTGTGTAAATACGCTAGATTGTCTATGAACCTGGAAGAGATCTCGACAGATTGACCACAGGGCTAGGTCCTCAGCATTGTCTTCTCCATCTGGGTTCCAAAGCTTTGAAGGAGGCCAAAGAAGGCTCAGTTTCATGTTCTTAGACTCACAGAGAGGAGCACTTGCTCAATCAGAAACAAAAAGATACCCTTGAGCCTGGAGTGAATGAAATAAGCATGCTTTAAAGAGAAGAGACTCAGGCTTAAATCAGCTGAGGGAAATGTGTCTGGGTTAGCTGTGGGTGAAGGGAAAAAGCTGGAGAATTTCTCCAAAAACTCATTGTAGTGGAGTCAGAACAGACTCACAGGTGACCCTTTAATAAATTTTCAGGAGGCTGTAAATCTCACAGGAGGACATTGTTCATATAGTGAGTTTGAGTTGCCAGAGATGGGTGGCCTTTGAGTTAGCAGCACAACTTCCTTCAGACTATACATACTTCCTGGTGTATAAGCCACCCTCCCTCTAGGGCTTGTTTGTTGTTGTTATGTGTCATCAAGTTGTCTGCAACTCATAGCGAACCTATGTATAACAGCCCTAAACCCTGCTCTGTCCTGTGCCAAACTCACTGTCTCCAACACACTCACCATGATTACCCCAGTCACTGAATCAATCCACCTCATAGAGGGTCTTCGCCTCCTGTGCTGTCCCTTCACCCTCCCAAGCATGATGTCTCTCTCCAAGGACCTGTCCCTCCTTACAACATGTCCAAAGTATGTCAGACGAAGCTTTAGAATACTTGCCTCCAAGGAGCAGCCTGTTTTAACCCTCTCTAGGTTGAACCTGTTCATTTTTTTAGCAGTCCATGATATATTCAATACTCTTCTCCAACACCAAAGCTCAAAGGCATCAAGTCTTCTTTTATTACCCCTCGTCATTGTCCACCTCTTGGTCACCCTCTGGGGCTTAGTGTGTTGTTAAGAAGAAAGTGCCTGGAAGGCTCAGATGCCCTTAGAGAAAAGGGATTTCCTCTGTTCAGACCCTGCGACTCCACTTTTGTGGCCCAGTGCAGACTCACCTGGGAGAGAGGCAAAAAGTAGGACAGGTAAGTTCAAAGGAAGCAAATAGGATGAGAAGAGAATTTGCCTTATCCGCTTCCTGAGGTGAAGGGTAACCTTGCCACTCTCTACTTGTTGCCCCCAAGTCTTTCCTGGCCAGGAGAGCAGGGCCTGAAGCTTAGGAGTCAAACCTGGAACCCACTGGGGGGGCAGATTCTAGCTTTGGGAAGTCAGAATTCTCACAGGGCCAGCAAGGCAGCCTCCCCAAGGGAAGGGAACACTCCTCCTGGGAAGGGTACCAGAGCTCAACCAGAAAAGAGGAAGCTGCTTGTGATTTGCTTAGTTCCAGTCTTTGAAAAATTATATTTTAAGTATGTTTTTATTTGAAAAGAATCTCTGACTTATTACTATGTCAGGTACTTTTAATGCAGTGCAATTCAGGAGGTATTTATGGAAGCTTCCAGCAATGGAAACAAGAGATTCTTAACTTTGTGGAACCAACATCCCTACAGGAGGCAGATAAACAGGACATTGTGATTGTTGTTATGTGCCATCAGGTCACCTGCGACCCATAGTGAACCTATGTATAGCCCCTCTGAATTCTGCCCTGTGCTGAGCCAGTCTCACTAATTCTGACACACCAACCCCCATTTCCCAGTAGATGTATCAATCTATCTCATCTGGGGTCTTCCTTTCCTGCACTGTCTGTCCACCTTTCCAAGCATGATGTCCTTCTCCAAAGACCAGCTTCTCCTGGCCATGTGCCCAAAGTATGTGAGACGGAGCTTCAAAATCCTAGCCTCCAAGGAGAGACTTGGTTTCACCCTCTCCAAGACAGACTTAATTGTTTTCTTGACGGTCCATAGTATGCTCAAGACTCTTCTCCAGCACCACAATTCAAAGATCACATTGTGATTAGTTATCCCCAAAACAAGGAGTAAATAAAGGCAGGCACACTGAGAGGGCCAAGCCAGGGATGGCTTCTGTTTTAAGTTGAGGGGTCCAGAGGCCCATCTTGAGGAGCTGACACTTCTCAGATATCCGAATGGAATGAGAACGCAAACCACATAACCGTTGGAGGGGTAAATCATCCTGGGAAGAGGGAATATTAAATGTAAACAGTCTATCATGTGGCCGTTGAGTCAGAATAGACTCCTAGATGACCCTCTTGCGGGTTTTCAGAGGCAGTGATGCACACAAGAGAACACTGCCTATCAACCTCCCATGGAGCATCTACTAGATTCGAATTGTAAACTTGCCCCATTTATGGCACAAGAAGGCTACTCTAGTGGATACACAGTCCCGTGATTGTCACTGCTCCCTCAGGCAGAGATTATTGGTCTTATGTCACACAAGTGGAAACTGAGGCACAGAGAATGATGGGCCCAGTGTTGCAGAGATGACAAGTAGCTGAGCCAGTATCTCATCCAGGTCTTGATACCAAAGGAATTGCCTTCAAAAGAATGATAACTGTCTGTAGCAACCAGCCCACGGTGGGTAAGTATGGGTGAGGAGGGTGCTTGTGAATGAATGGGCCTGCTGAGGGAATTGATCTGACAGTTCCTTGATCCTTGGGGTAAAGCGGGAACCAGAAAGGAGGTTATTCCAAATTTTAGGATTGAAGGCTGAATAACAGTGTCTCTGCTTCCTAGACTGGGGGGTGGGAACAAGTTAGAGAGGAAGCTGGCCCATGACCAGAGAGGGTCTAATGAGCCCCATGCAAGCTGAGACCTGGGGGTATGTAGCTTGTCTCTGTACCCTTGGAACCCAGTAGGTGCCTGGAATATGATAAGAAATGAATGAATGTGAGCATACACCATTCCAGGGAACAGCAAGTAACAGGGGCATGCTCTGAGGACAACCTCTGGAACTCAGGATGGGAGGCTGGGAAGGCCAAAAGAGTAACCTGGAAGTGGAAAGGTGGGCCTGGTTGGTTTTCTCCAACCTGAGCCTGTTATAGGCCTCTCCAGGAAGCCACAGATCTTACCACAAGGTCTCTAGGGTGGCAAGTCCCTCGGGTGCTGTGCTTGCCCTGGCCAAGAGGAGAGCAAGCAGCCTAGCCCAGTGTGGGCCCTGCCTCAGGGAGCCCTGGGACGGGCCAGCAGCTGGAAGTCCTTAACCACATTATCCACAGGCCAGAGAAGCCCTGTGAGACACAGAAGGTGGGTCCCTAGCTCCCAGTTCTACACTGGGTCTAACTTCATCAAAGCCCCCACCACAGCATTAACCACCTGACCTCTGCCTCCGCCAACCTGCTAATTTCACCAATTATTGGGCAACCTCGGCTTCCTGGAGTGAGCCTGCTTAGCACCGACAGCTGCCAGGCAAATCCAATTACACCTGACTAGCCCAGCACTCTCCCAGGCCTGGGTCCAGAGGCTGGGGCTGAGTCCGAGCGTGGATGAGATGCTTACAGGGCACTGGCTCCCTGAATCCCAAAGGGCCAGGGGCCAGGGGCCCCGCCTCTCTCTGAAGCCTCCACCCGAAGTTGCCACCTTCTCCCTCCCAACACCAGACCCAGCTCCCCTGACCACCAACATCTGTAGCTCAGACCTCAGCATGGGGCTGTCTAACTTGCTGAATCCTGGCATTAGCCCTGCACCTCATTTTACAGGTGGGCACACTGAGGCCAGACAGATGGAGTGCCCACTCAGAGATCAACACCCCAACACCAAGTCCAGGTCCCTGAACTTCAAGATCACACCTGTCTGTCAGCCAACACTGCTTACCTGCCCTTTGTGGATGCTCCAGGCCGCCCAAGTGCCCCTGTATTTGTGTGGGCTTGTCCCCATCCTGG